AGATAAAAAATGATAATGATGGATGAGAACTTTTTATGTGTACATCATGCTACCATATCATATCTCTGCATAGTGTCGTCTTGTTGTCTCCTAAATTCCAAATTCTCTCTGGGTTTGCTATCTTTTCGTGCGGCTAAGCATTTGAGATCTGGTAAGCGACTCATTTCTTGGCTTTATTTCAAGTTCCACTGATTTCTTTATGCTTGCATGTTACATGGTTTGTTAGGTTAGAAAATTCAACGTTGATTAATCTAAATACTTAGATAACATGAGACTCTTCGGTGATATTTTATTTTATTTTTTTGAAAACTCAGCCCATTTGTTGTTTTTGTTTTTTCAAGTTCATAAGATCGATTTAATCATCATCTTGCTTCCCATCTCTCCATTTCATTCAATTAATCATTAATTACTACTTTGCTTTTCTCTCTCTCAGAATTCAATTGTGCGTGCAATCTTTCTCTCTCTGTCCAAGCATAATGGCTGATATTGTCACCACCGTCATCATCAGCCCTGTTATACAAGAGGCACTTTCCAGGGCGACATCTTTTGTTGCTAGATGGCTTCACACTGCATCGGGTTTTGAGGAGGAGCTGACGAGACTTGAAGATTTGCTCAAGTTCATCCAATCTGTGATCGATGATGCTGAGGAAAAACAACAAAGTGACAGAACTATAAGGCTTTGGTTACAAGATCTCAAAGCTGTAGCTTATGATGCAGTGGATGTACTCGATGAGTGTGATTATCAGCGTCTTCGTCACCATGTTCAGACCGGAGGCCTGAAAGGGAAAATGTTCCCCTGTTTCACCCTTGGTTCTCATATAGGTGACAAAATTAAGAAGATTAATGAGCAGTTTGGCAGGTTAGAAAAGCTTGCGGCTCCACTTAGTTTGGCGTTAAAATGCCAATGTCATCCAAATGGCAGGCGATATCCCAATACAGACTCCTTTCTTGACTCCAGAGTTTATGGAAGAGAAGATGATGTGTCGGGAATTCTTAACTTGATGGTTACCCTGAAGAATGACCATTCAATCTCTGGTGTTTCCATAGTTGGTATGGCGGGCCTTGGAAAGACAACAGTAGCAAGATCAATATACAAAAAGGCAAAGGAAGAAAAGCTCTATGATCTAGTAGCCTGGGTGTGTGTCTCTGAAGACTTTAATGACCAAAGAATTTTGTCAGAGATGTTGGAACATTTTAAGGATGGTGCTGTTCCAAAGAACAACGTCAATGCCTTGCTGGAAGGTCTTGCCAACGAAATGGAAGAGAAAACTTTTCTTTTGATCCTTGATGACGTGTGGAATGAAAATCCTTCCAAGTGGGATGCTTTCAGCTCTCGTCTCTTGAAAATTTTGAAGACAACTGGGAATTCCATTGTGGTGACAACTCGTAGTAGACAAGCAGCAGCTGTGATGGAGACACTTCCTATGCAAAATTATGAAATGCAGAGATTGTCAGATGATGAGTGCTGGTCAATAATTGAGGAGACAATTCTCAGATCATCCAAACAAACTTCAGTTTCTTCAGAGTTGAAAGTTATTGGACAGGATATTGCCAAACAATGTGGAGGCTTACCATTGGTTGCAACTGTCATTGGAGGGACATTAAGCCGTCAAATTCAAACAGATAAGTGGTTGGCTATCAAAAACAATAATGCATGGGATTTGGATTCACAGGGCAGAAATAAAATTTTATCAATATTAAAAATAGGTTTTGATCGTTTGCCATCACATTTGAAAATTTGCTTTTCTTATTGTTCAATATTTCCAAAAGATTTTGTCATTGAGAAAGATGATTTAGTTCAACTTTGGATGGCTCAAGGGTTCCTTCACCAACCTAATGAAAGCAGACCATCTAGTGAATGCCCCATGACAATGGAAGAAATTGGCAATGAGTACTTCAATGATTTGTTATCTAATTCATTATTTCAAGATGTGAGAAGGGATGAATATGGAGATATCATATCTTGCAAGATGCATGATGCCGTGCATGATCTGGCATTATTTGTTTCAAAAGGTGAAACTTTGATTTTGGAGACCGGCTCCAATATTGACAAGAATGCTGACATTCGCCATTTGAGAGTTAGGTACGATGGGAAAGAGCTTCCGGTCATTCCAGATGTTCTTCTTCAAAGGTTGCATTCTTTGTTCATAGAGCAGGTTGATGATTTTAATGTCATGGCATCTGATCTTAAAAGGCTACGATCTTTAAAATTAGTGGGAGCTAAAATGGAAGAGTTGCATTCTGCCCTCGGCAAAATGAAGCATTTGAGATATCTTGACATCTCAAAAAGTAGAATTAAAGCCCTACCAAAATCTTTTTCTAGGCTCTACAATTTGCAAACCTTTAGACTAATGTGGTGTTCTTCTAATCTGCAGATGCCTAATGATATGAGCAATCTAGTCAGCTTGAGGCACATTTATTTCAGTAATGAAAAGCATGTCCCAAGGGGGATTGGGCAGATAACTTCCCTTCAAACATTGCCTATATTTTTTGTAGGCAAAGAAAAGGGACGTGGCATTGAAGAACTAGGAGGCTTAACCCAACTTAGTGGAGGATTGGAGATTCGGAACCTAAAACAAGTAAGATCCAAATCAGAAGCCTCTGAAGCAAACCTAAAGGAAAAGACAAATTTGTATGGGTTGAAATTGGAATTGGGTGATGAATATTGGGGAGGAGACTACAGCAACCACGAGGAGGTTCTAGAAGGTATTCAGCCTCATTCAAATTTGAAAAGTTTATACATTGGAGTTACCATGGGAGAAAACTTTCCATCATGGATAATGACCAATGTCAATGGCTCTGGTGCTTCATTTTTGCTCAACAACCTGGTGGAGTTGAAATTAAGAGCTTGGTACAATTGCAGCTATATTCCAAGTCTGGGACTTTTGCCTAGTCTCAAAAATCTTCAAATTTCTGAATTTAAAAAGGTAAGAAGCTTGGGTCATAAGTTTTATACAACCAGAAGTAGCACTCAAGGAAGGGTAGAATCAATCAAACTATTTCCAGTTTTGAGAAAACTCACCTTAAAGGACATGGAGAGCCTAGAGGAATGGGTTGAAGTTGATAACAATGCTGTGACAGGAAGCAAAGTTGCGATCGTGTTTCCTTGCCTTGAGGAGTTGCACGTTAGCAGTTGTCCTGAATTGAAGACTTGGTCGATGGGTGGATTTTCATCTCATCATAGGCTTTCTAAGCTGGAAATAGATCAATGTCCAGAACTGATAGTCATCCCAAGTATAAATGGGCTGTCCTCTCTTAAAAGTTTATCATTAGAGAGGTGTGAAGCATTAACATGTCTACCAAGTGGGGTGGGATCTTGCTTCTCTCTTGAGAATTTGAGCATTTTATTTTGCAATAAACTGACTTCAATTACAAGTATTGATGAGCTCTTATCCCTTAAAACTTTGAAGATAGTGGCTTGTGCTGGATTAACATGTCTACCATCTAGGTTGGGGTCTTGCATCTCTCTTGAGAGTTTGGATATTTCATTTTGTCAAAATTTGACTTCAATCCCAAGTATAGATGGGCTTTCATCTCTTACAAGGTTGCACTTGCTCAACTGTTACAAAATAACAGGTCTCCCTAGTGGCCTGGGCTCCTGCATTTCTCTGAAGTGGTTGGACATTCAACATTACCCTGCTCTAATTTCTATTGCAGAAGATGTTGGAAGATTGGAGGCTCTCACTTGTTTAACTATTTCTTATTGCTCTGGACTGAGGAGCATTCCAGATGAGTGCCTCGGCTGCCTCACTAGCTTGAAGGAGTTAGATATGGGTCCTTTTTCCTCGGAGTTAGAGGAATTCCCAGGATGTAGTTCCATTCATCACCTTCAGGCCTCTCTTGAAATTTTGTCATTGAGCGGTTGGGATAAAATAAAGTATCTGCCACATCAACTTCAACATCTTACTAGCATGAAGAAATTGATTCTAAGGGAATTCAACGGACTGGAAGCTTTGCCAGAATGGTTGGGAAACCTCTCTTCTCTTCAACGTTTGGAAATTTGGTCATGCTCTAATTTGGCGCACCTGCCTTCTGTTCAAGCCATGCGAAGCCTCTCCAACTTACAATCTCTCTGGATTTCGGGTTGTCCCAGATTAGAGGAAAGATGCGAAAATGAGAGCAGCCCCGAGTGGTCCAAGATTTCCCACATTCCCAAGACGGAATTATCTAGCATGCCTTTCTTTGGGAACCCAACCAGATGATTGTCCTCTCCTTGAGTTGTTGGTGGACTGCCAACAAACAGATTCAGCTATAGTTTTCAAGTATGTCGTTGTTGAATGATGACAGCATTTTTGATGTTTAAGTTTACTGGTTTAGATAGGATTTTTTATTTTATTGTCCATTCTCAAATCTATTAGTAATGCCAAATTTTCCTAATAAATTTTCTTCAAGTTCTTAGCTGTGGTTCATTAATTATAGGATATGATTTACTAATTAAGCGGTGTCCTCTCTTATAGGCTTTACATTTCAGAAAGTACTTGAAGTTGTTCCAAACAATTGTAGTAGAAATTCATTTGATATCTTGAATTCAAACTGGGCAAGAAAGTAGGAAACCTGTATTGAAGTGGGTTTTGTTGGTTTGTGCTGGAAATATCTTCAAGATTCAATGCCAAATGTTTGGTCTCTCTTGTCTCTGAGCCTAAAACAAAAGTTTATCTAGGTTTGTCTTGTTACTTTGTACATATTTGCCGCCCTTAATAGATGTAATGTTTTGATCAATTTGCAAATTAACCTATTCTTTTATGCATAGAAGTTATTAAGCCTTGCTTCTCCATATGTGGCTGTCATTGTAATGGCTATTGGCCTTGACCTCTTGTCATGAGCATTGAAGCTCTCTTCGCTCCAAGAGTTGACAATTTGGTCTTTCTATACTTTGATGCATCTACCTTCTCCACAAGCCATGCAACTCCTCTCCAAATATTTACAATTGTCTCAAATTAACGAAGAGTTGTAACAAAGAGAGTCCCTCATTCCCAGCTTTAGAATGGATTTGTGGACTCCAATGTGCCTTGCCTGAGGTAAGTTCAATTAATCATTCAATCATTCCTCAACTCCTTGATCAATACCTATAATTTCCTAGACATTCTGAGTGACAACTAGGAAGTTCAGATTCCTTTTAATGTTTTACAATGGCCACTTCTTGTACAATACAATGGCTGATGATCTATTATTTATGCAGTCAGCAAAGGACCTTATTTTTCTATGAACTTTCACAATATTTTTCCCAACAAATTAAGACATGATGGAATCAAGGGACTTGCGGAAATTAATTAAGGTAAGAGTTTGCACCTTGTGTTTGTCTGAAAAGTTTTATGTACATTGTATATATTGCCAAATTGTCTTTTCTTAGCTCTTTAATTCAGAATAAGGTCCTTCCCCTATTTTATTTTAATTCTTTGGCATTAAATACTTTCTTTTAGAAAATTTGAATGCTGGGAACTTTTTCTGCTTTAAATTCAGTCTTGAAGAACTGGCAAGTGATTAAGTTCCTCCTTGAACTATTGGTTCTCACAAATATTGGCATGGTTTCTCACAAAAGTTGGCATGGTTTTTGGGTTTGTAGCTGTTGGATGTTGACAAGAACTGACATGTAAGTTTACTACCGTACATGACCATCTTTGCTGCATTTAGATTTTGAGCATGATTTAGATTTATTCTCTTAGAAAAACTTGCAGGCAAGGAACTTCTCCATGTTTTGAATTCAAAATCTTGAAGAACTGAGGCTGATTTTCTCATTGGAGACCTAAACTGACAAATGGTCTTCTCTTTAAGTAGTTGATGCTCATGAACAGATTTAGCAATTCTTCAGTGAGGTAGTTCTCAATTGATGGCAGGAAGTGAGGTGCAAGTTTACTGGTATAGACATCAATCTTTGCTTGTTCTTGCACATCCCTTTTGGAGTTCTGATATGACCTTTTATTTGATTTCTATTTTGGAAATCTGTAACTAAGGCTGAAGTTTGCAACTTGCAAGTATGTTTTCATCATAATAGAATATTATTTAAATATGAATTGGTGTCTTCTGTTATAGGCCTTGTCTATTGGGATGTATCCTTTTTTTTTGAAGTTGTTCCAGACAATTGCAGCAGAAATTCATCAATCCTTGAATTTAAATGAATGGACAATGAATCCAACAATTACTTGTGGGTGCGGTTAATGTGTGCTTGAAATATCTATAAATTCACCGGTTCAATTAATGTGTGATTGAAATATCTTCCATGCTAAATGTTTGGTATGATGTGCAAATTGAACGCTTATTTCTTTAGTGGCTTTTTCTTGTCTAAGCCTAAACCAGAAGCTTTGTCTAGGTTTGTCTTACCTTGCAATCATACGTGCCCTTAATAGATTCACTGTTTTGATCATGTTGATAAGCATAGAAGTTATTCCATTTCAGGTTTGAGATGCTGGTGTTTTAGCATTTTCTAATCTGTGATATGGTAAAATGGATCGAGTGTAGAATGGTGTTTATGCATATTGCAACAATGGAAATAAAAGATAGTAAATTGAAGAATGAGAAGTAGAGTGGTAGGAAGCTGAAATGACTTTATTTCTGAAATTGAAAGCAGGAAAACTACAAGAAGAAAATATGACGAAAAGATGAGACATTGACGTTATTCTTCTTATTTATAGGCAGCAAAACACAAGGGGAAACAAGAGTTTGTTGGAACTCTCCTACTAAAAACGTGGCTTCATCAGACATCAGGATCCCGGTGCTTTGACTCCAGTTTAGTAGGACTATGCTAACAAATTTATTTGACTTGGTCTTCAGCACTCTGCTCCTCACTGTTTATGATCAACTAGACACCTCTCAACTTCTGGAATTGCTGCATTTTTACAACATGCTTTCCCATTGACTGCCATCGTTAACACTTATTACCAGTCAGGACCTCTTCCTCTTGTCATGAGCATTGCAGCTTCACTGGTAAATGGTAGCAATCCCTTCGGTTTTTACATGGAGCTTAAAGAGGCTGGTGCCAAAGATTACGTGTACATGCACTTTGCAGGGGTTAAAGAGCACCAAGCAAACGAGACGGACAAATTCAACCTTAATTAAAATGGAGAACTTTGAACGGTCCCTTTGTTTCGGAGTGCTGATATCCAATACCATGTACAGTTTTAGATGCAGTGAGTAGAGAAAGCATTGACTTCTACCTAGAAGGAACCAACAGATCAACCATTCCACCAATTCTCAATGTTCTTGTGATTTAGTGGTAACAGATTTCTTGTAGCCTACAAGAGTTGTAGCTGCCAAAAAGAATAAGCAGGAAGATGGTATGGTTTTGGTAACCCTTTTCTTGTCAGCTTTTTCTTCGAAGAGGAGAAAAAAAAAAAGAAAAAAAAAAAAAAGGAAAGAGATCCATCAAGAGTCAAGACACTCAAGTAAAGGCCTTTAGAGCCCTTTTAGTAAACAGCCCAGGCCCGGCCCTTGACTGCATTATTTTACAATTTGTTATAATTCTCCAACCATTGAGTTTTCAATGAATTGTGGGTTAAAGAGGGAAGTCAATGCAAAATGTGCGAAATGACCAAAATACGAAGTTGAAAAGACAGAATAATTAAAAGTGGAAAATATGAAGAACTTCCAACTCATTGTCCAAGGCAACGGGTATTATTATCGAAAAAGAATTTTATAATTAAAAAAAATTTAAATTATAAAATAATAAATTCAAAAAAAATATTAAGATCACTATTTCCCAATGCTTTTAAAGATGATATTAAAAATTGTGTATTTTTATTTTTATTTTTTGTGATAATAACAACGCTCCACCGAAAGGTGGTTTGTTAAAATAACATTTAAAGTGGGACAGTCAGCAACTGTGCTTGCCATGACTTCAAATTTAACGGCCTAAACTCCCAGCCCCTTCTAACTTCTTGTTCTTGAGGGTCTCCACCTTATAAGTTGGGGGTTTTAACTCCTCAAGTATTCAATTTTAGAGGGAATGCCCCAAAACTTAACGTTTGAACACCACGTGTACCGTGTGACCGTTATTGTTCTGTTTGTGTAAGCACAGTCAACGCCACATCGTCATAGAATATCCATGTGGCATGTGACCTGCCCCAATTTTAAAACACTTGAAATAAAAAATAAAAATAATTGATATTTTTTTATTCCATTGTCTTCTACCCCAAACACCATCTCTTTCCTCCAAGCAACTTCCTAAAAATATGGCAAAGCCCTTCCTACAATATCGAAGCTCTTAG